AAATTAATGAACCACTAACAGTAACATCAATAATAGATCTAAGGGATCCTACTAACCTATTGTAAAATGCTTAAATAATTAACCAGTCTAGCAAAGCATGACATGGACACTTTTTAAGTTGTTCTTTAAATTGTTCGCTAGCTTCGTATATTGACTCATCTTGTGTAAATGAGGTAATATCATTTATAAGCTTAGTAGTTTTTAAAGGTGAAAAATACTTAGCTAGGAATTTTTGCAGCAAATCCCTTTAAGTTCTAATAGATCTAGGTTCTAATGAGTTTAACTTCATCTTAGCTTCATCCCTTAAGAAAAAGATAAAAAGTTTAAGTCTAACAATGTCTTTTGATATGTCATTGTACTCAAATATAACATATAATTCTAGAAAACCAGCAAGGTGTAAGTTTGGATCCTCCATTGGAGTTCCCCAAACTGGTTATTCTGTACAATTTGGATTATAGTAAGTTTTAGTTCAAATGAGTTGGCTGCTACAACAAGAGATCTAGAAGCCTAAAATAACTGCCTAGTGCCTAGGCGTCAGATCCCGGCCCCATGGCACCAGGCTCTCCGTTTTTGCGTATAGGGTATGATGCCTAGGCGCTAGTTCACTTTTTGCTCCTTGACTCTGTTTGACCCCATTTAGTTTGTTTTCGCTCTATTTTCTCCAAAAACTCCTTTATAAAGTTTCTTCAATTAAAGTGCAATATTATTAGAAATGAGCATAAATTGTATATAAAAAGTAGCACATTTTTAAGCATGTCAGTACCCTGAGGCGCCCTCTCCTTAGAGGGAGTAGGTTTCACCTACTGTTAATAGCCTATGGAGAGGAAGGCATTCATCAAATTTTTGATAGTTCACCCTGACCTCTTCTCCCCAAACAAGAATGGAAGAAGAACCTAGCATAGTCAAAGGCTTGTGTTTTATTAAAAAGACTGGCTCGAAAGGAAAGATGTTCAGTTACTCATATCTTACACAAAATCATGCTCATCGTGTATTGACCTTATTGTTTGTGCCTTTGAGTTCAATCCTCAAGGCACTTAATTTTCATGCAGATTGACGCATCATGTGGTTCATTTTTCCCTAGTGAGATCTCTTGCACTTTCATATAAGTCTTGGTTTGCATGATTCTACACTAATTAGTGGTAAAACTTTGATCAAAACCCCAATTATGACATGTGGCAATAATAAAGAATGATCATCACCTGTTAAATAGACCAAATAGATGATATGAATTATCCTATTACTACCACATCTCATAGGACCTTTCTAAGCATGGGTCTAGGTTGTCATTCATCACTTGGTGTGGCGAGTGTGAGCTCATTTAGATGCTTGGGATGGGGCCAAACTTGGCAAAATCATCAAAATCCTATAGGAATTTCCTTAGCCTTGCATTGAATGACCGTCACTTGGATATTTGATAGACAAAACCTAGTAGATACTTGTTTAAAATTAGAGTTACAGTGTAGTTAGGTTAATCATATGTGTGACTATTAAGTTAGTTTATTCGCTAGTCTTATTTTGCATTTTTATTGGGAGAGATGCATGTGTGTTAGTATATTAAGGGCGATTCTTCTTGATGGGAGTCACATCCAGTATAAAGGATCTTAAATAATTAAGCATTAACTAACATATATTTTGCAGGCGGTGCTTAGCTCTTCTCCCGTCAGGCATAACTCATTTCTCGTTGCATGTCTTGTATTCGTGTTAAGTTTTATTTTTCCTCTAATAGAGTTTGTATTGGAAATAAGATACCAGCATGAGTCCCTGGTAGCTTAGAGCAGATAGACCATGTGAGGAGGATAAAAAGCAGATGGGCTTTGTACCTTAATTATGAATCTATTTGTTGTATAGATTTAGGATTATACGTGTATTATATAGAGCCTGGCTACTTCTTCTCCTTTTCTCGAATATATTGCCAACCCATTGACACCTGACAACTTATTATTTTATTTGTGATTGTTTATTTTATTATGTTTCGTGTTTCTTTTTGTAGTTGTCTGGGTAACATTGCACTTGAACTATTTAGGGTAATTTTTTTATATAAATTCAATCTTAAGAGATTTTTCAGTTAAAAAAAATTTGGTTTAACATTAATGAATTTTAAGACAAATCTTTACTTTCCCACATGGCTTTGAAGCTAATTTTAAAATGATTCATCTTTGCATGGCTATATCCCTTAAGCACATTATTACGACCTTCACACATAGGCCTATTTTAGATTACATTACATATTCCGAGGAAAAGTATACTTTTCTAACTTGGCTGGCCCAACATATGTTTATATGTTTTTTGTAGTATTCTCGCACAGTGTAGGGTGTTAGAGGCTATCCAAACCCAAACAAGACTATAAGATATTTGTAGGCTGATTTTTTTATTAGTTATGATGTCCACCTTTTTTCACTTTTTAGGTCACTATCATGCGAGATTTAAATTCTACTCGACCTTTTTTTGTATAGATTTGGTTTTAAGAGCTTAGATGTTTCTTTCTCTGACTTTAAGGTTATTGGATTACTCTGAACAATGCAAAACATGGTTGTTGATAAGCAGTTCCTAATTAGTTTGGGTTGACTGCCTTCACAATGAGTAAACTTTGTCTTAATAAGTTGGGATGAAAAATTCATAGAATCATGACTGTTATTTCTAATGGTCTTAGTTCATCCTTAAATTTTCTTTAACTACCCCTTTGAGCCTTTTTATTTCTTTGTCATGTCTTTATAATCATTTCATATGCCCTCTTTATTGGAGAAAATATTGCATCAAGACATTGTAGGTGTAAATTGGTGGTATTGTGGTAGTATTGAGGTGATATTTGACATATACCAATTTTATGTGATTTTACCCATTTTTATTCTGGTATTTTATCTTTTATTTCACCTTAATTATCATCATTTTATGCTTGTGAAAGGTTTTTTGTGTTGTTCTACATGGTATAGGTGTCAAACATGCAAAATAAAGTCAAAACACATGAAAAAGTGTTGGTTGGCGTAGTTACATCTGATCTGGGCATGATCATGCCATAACTGGCGCGACCACGCCAATTTGGGGTGTGACCCATCTGAGGTCTGGCGTGACCGCACCACTAGACGACTATAATCAGATTTTGAGTGATTTCTTGCCTATTTTGGACCCATTGACGATTTTTTGGAGCAATTTAACGCCTCTCCTGAAATTATTAATTGATTTGGAGAGATTGCATGCTTATTTTAGATTCACAATGTAAAAACCAAGGGTAAATACATGTTTATGTCATGATGGAAGGTCTTCTTGGCTTCTTGGCCTCTTCTTGGCCTTGGGGAGGGGTTTCCTTTCATTTTCTTCGTTGTTGTGATTTATTAAGAGAATTATAGGAGAGGACGGATTTCTAAAATTCTGGAGAAGGCATGTTATTGTAAGTTTACATGTTTTTGTTTCTTGCAGAGCAATCTTGCATAATTTTCCTTACTATGATTTTCTCTACGATGTGTGCCTTATTTCATTTTTAATGTCTCTGTGATGTAGGGGTAGTGAATTTATCATGATTTTTCTGTAAAGTTTTTCTATTAAGTGTTGTCTTCGAGCTTCCATGGTCTTTTTGTTAGTTTACCTTCAAACTTAATTTACTCTTAGTATGGCTAACTAGGATGTTAAAATATTTTGTGAAGCTACAACCTCTAACTATTGCGTAGTGGAAACGAATGATTAACCACAAAATTCAAAGAGGATAAACATATTCTAGTGGATATCTGCAAACATTTCAGGAGATCGAAAAGTCATGCGGAATGCCATAAGGATTGAAGAATCCTCAACTTCATGGATTTTAAGCTTCTTTTGACCCAGACATAGACATAAGGAGTACTATATCTCCAATTGAGAACAATCACATGGGAAAACATGTAGGAAAATCACGATTGTTGGGATCCCTAAATCATAGAGACACGACCTCATAAATCTTGAAAGACTCACAAAATCTTTTCACTATTGTTGCTTCAGCTATTTTTGCCTTACTCTAACTTGCTAGAATCTTAGGAATTAAAATTCCTTTTAAGATCACGCCAAACTAGGTTAGGTAAATTAGTAAACTAGAGATTTTTCTGTGGAAATAACTGTTGCACTTTTCTTGTGGGATCGATACACAATATTTTTTAACCGCATTACTATTTGACACGTGCATTTGCATTGTATGACCGACTTGCCCCGCGGTAAGTTTTGTGCATCAGGATTGGGTATAATACCACTACAATACCACTAGAATACCATCAATCCACACCTAATCCGCACCCATCTCATCCACACACAATATTTTCTCTCTTTATTGAGGAATGAGTTATCTATCAGTTTACGGTGATCCACCATCAAAAATCTTAGCTCTGTCCCGACAAGAGGAGATTCTCTTATGGAGACAATGAAAATCACCTTAACATCCTATTTCCGTTGGATTATATCAAGCAAACATAATAGCTTTTATCGAAAGTCTTCCTAGATATCTCCTTTTCTCGCTCTGCCTTCTGAATAGAGATTTTTTGGAACGGGGATCTGAAAGGGGCTACTATGAAGAGGGACTCTCAAAAACAAAAATGAGCGCGAACACATATAAAAGGATTTATGTACTTGCTTATTTTACTTTATGAGTATGTGTAAGATGTCATTTGTTGTTAAGATGATCAAACACTTTGCTTTCCCAATTACACCCTAATATTTAACACAAATATTACCAAATAAAACTTTAATACATATTTATCAATAACTAATACATAATCTGCTTATTTCTTATAGATTTTTTTTTTCTATTATAATGAATAATTTTTTGCTAAATATGAAAACGCACATCTAATATTAATATTAAGCAAAACATGATAGAATGTTTTTGTATCATATGAAAAAGCACCTGGAATACCCAAAAATAGTAATTGATAGTTATTCATGCAATTTCCATTCATTTTTCAAATTCCCAAAACTAGAAGGTGACAACAAACGTTTAAAAACAGTTGGGATAAGACTGCCAGTTACGAGCAAAATATAAAAACGCCGACACTGTTTTTTAGAGGCAATGAGCTTTTTGGACAGGTGTCCTGCGAAGCTCGAACCCGTTTTGAACCGCATTCGCTGGCGCGCAGAGCTCGTTCGTGTCGCAGCCTCGTCCGTCTGCCTCTTCCGCCCGCACTTCTCCATCGCTCTCGAGTGCGCAACCAAGCGTCTGTTACTCCTTTTTGCCATGGCCTCGAGAAGACGGAGCTTGATCAAGGTCATTGTTCTAGGGGACAGCGGGTAAGAGTTTTGATGTGATGTCTCGTTCTCTTCCTTGATCCCGAGTTTTTCCTGCAATATCGCCTCTAATTTCAATCATTTTTACTTTTTAAGCTTTTCCTTCACCTTATCAATGCATAGTTTTGTGTACAATTTCGATCTCTGCCAATCCTAATTGTTCTGTTTCTTGAAATCTCCAGAGTGGGGAAGACCTCGCTGATGAATCAGTATCCTTGAGGTCACTTTGTTGACCACAGCATTGGCATATGTTCTGGTGGCTAGAATTCGTTCTGCGAATTGTCTAGAGTTTTGATCCTTTTTCTGGGTTTCCGGTTAGGGTTTTCTTTTCCCCTGCATTCATTTGAAAGTTAGGCTGATTCGAAATAATATTTGGGAGCTATTGGTTTCAATTTCTATCGCTTGCAGTTAGAGTTTTAAATTTTGATCTCCAAAGATGATAGAGATGTGTGCTATGTAACTGAAATGTATTTTTGATAGTTTCCCTACCGTAATAGTTTACTAAGAGGATGGCAAATATCTTTCTTGTGCCTTTGATTTTCATACAGTGATATCTCACAATGTTAAAAGGTGTAGTTTTACACCGTTCTGGTCATGGCACTTTCATTTTTAAAATTTTTCCTTCCTGAATCGTCTTTACGTTGATTTCTTAATATTCTGGTTAGATATGTACAGAAGAGGTTCATCCAACAGTATAAAGCTACTATAGGCGCTGACTTTGTTACCAAAGAGGTTCAGGTTGACGACAGGCTTGTAACTTTGCAGGTTTTTTTTAAACGTTCATTTATTATTTTGAAAAGATTTTAATATGCGGCCATCACTTATGGTGGTTGAAGGCAATAACACTCAACCAAGTGGGAAGTAATAGGCTGTACTTTACTAAACAAATATTGTAAAAGCCATTCTTTATTTGAAAATTTTTGTTGCATTTACTCTTAGATATGGGATACAGCGGGCCAGGAAAGATTTCAAAGTCTTGGCGTTGCATTCTATAGGGGAGCTGATTGTTGTATTTTGGTTTATGATATCAATGTTTTAAGGTCATTTGACAATCTCGACAACTGGCATGATGACTTTCTCAAACAGGTTTTAATTCTTTTTAATCATCTTATTTATGCGTCCAATTTTGTACTGGTTTTGTTTTAAAATTTGTTGTAGCTCAATCATCTATTTTCTGCATTCCATTTCTTCCTGATGATGTAATTCGTAGATAATCAAATTCTTACAGTCCATAACTCTTTTCTTTTTCTAGGGAGTTTTATGATGGCTTCAGCTTTTTTAAATTAGATGCAATTAAATTTCTTTTTCCAAGGTTTTGCTTTAGTATGTGAATCATTTTTGGACATCCAGACTACAGCTGATCTCAGGACATTTGTAGTATTATATTTTACCCCTTAACATATTAAGCACATGGTGATAGATATTAGAAAAATGATTATTAACTGACATATGCTGATGAACCCAATTTTCTCAGTTGCTTTCATAAGTTTTTTGTTTTCAAAAGAATGCTGAATTTTCTTCCATTTCTTTGGATGGTTTAAAATTTGTTTTATTTCACTTACCTGGCGTTTCACAGATTTCATGGGTATTTAATGTTTTAATCATTATGTTAGAGTATTATTCTGATTGCATTGGTATTACAAGTTGCTTTTATCTTATTGAACTCCAGGCTAGCCTTACAAAACCTGATAAATTTCCATTTATACTTCTTGGAAACAAGGTTGACGTTGATGGTGGGAACAGCAGGGTGGTAAGATTGACTACAGCAGTGCTATATTCGGTTTATTATATTGTCATTCTAAGAATTTTTATACTCGTTCAGGTTTCAGAGAAGAAAGCTAGAGAATGGTGTGCTTCCAAGGGAAACATACCATACTTCGAAACATCTGCAAAAGAAGATTACAATGTTGAAGCTGCATTCCTTTCTGTTGCTAAGCTTGCTCTAGAGAAAGACCATGATCATGATATGTAAGTTGTGCTCTAAATGTTATGTATTCCTCATTATCTTTATCCTAAATAATTAGAATCATATTTATGAATTATCATTCTTCATTTATTCTTGCTGAGTGCTTTTATCTTATGTAAATCCTTTTTTTTTTGGCTTCTATTATGCGACCTTTCTGCCTTCCATTTTGCTTCTAAATACTTCATATTAATTTTATTTGTGATTTTATTTCCATTTTTTTTCTCTTCACTGCATGTACCCAAGTCTTTTAAGTATACTTTTCAGTATCTTATCTTCAATTTCTACGATCAATGGCTATATATCATCTTAATATTCTCTTTATCATCAACTCAACTTGACAAATAGTGAATTTTCTATCATTTAGCTCCCAAATTCATATAAATTATTAATTTTATTATAGTTTGATAAATTTTCTACTATAACCTCATTTAAATGGTTTTAAAATCAATTTAATTCAATTTGTTTCTTTCTTGTCTCCCATGTTTGTATGTAGAATGCTTGTTTCTTCATATGCCATTATTTATAAAGGTGTTATCAACATTTTTCTTAGGCCAGCCAAATTCTTCATTGGGAAATATGACATTATTGATAAAATGTGAAATCATCATTTTTTTAAGATGGCCAAATTATTCATTGGGAATTAAGTCAAATAATCATTTCGCAATCTATTTATTGTTGTCGTCAGTATTAGGCAAAAATATTTATTGATTTTTGGGGTGATGGGTATGGTCAAGTAGGCTGGGAAGGAGTGAGATTTAAGGTTCTTCATATGGTATTATTGATAAGGGTGGAATTAACATTTTTCTTTAGGGTGACTAAAATATTCATTGGGAATTAAGTCAAATAATCATTTCTCAATAAATTTATAGTTGCCTTAATTATTAGTTAAACAGATTTATTGATTATTTTTGTTTTTTACCAAATTGCCTAACTTATAAAGGAAAATATCAAATTTATGGTGGGTAATTTCCCATCTTGGCTATATGTAGGTCCGCTCCTGCTTGTTGATAGTTGTAATGATGGTTTCACAATTGGAAAGAATTTTTCTTACTACGAAAATTGGTTTCATTATTATCATCTGTACTGAAATTATATTCGACAACTTGTTTTTGTTCGTGTGAAATTATTTTCTGCATTTCTTGTAATTTTTTTTCTAGCTATTTATTCAATAATTAGGTCTATTTGAGTTTCTGATTATATTTGGTCAAAATCCACATCACACTGACACCCAAAAATAATTAGTGTGATACTATTCCTAGCCGTACAATTACTCAATATGCTGTTATTACGGAAACATGCAATAAAAAAATACTTCTTGTTAATAATTTATCACCTTTGCGACTAATTCATTGTGAGAGTTGATCGAACTTCATATTAAAATTCAAAATGCTGTCTTCTTTTTTGGATGCTTATGTAGTAAATAATAGTGCTATTTGAAAAAAGAAATTTATTATAGTAGTAGCAATGTTGACCAAAGTGAGCAATGTTACAATGGTTGTGAAGATGAAGTTCCCTCTACTTTCATTTTGGCATTTTTTGCAGTCGTCTCTCTGTGTCTGCGAGCAAAGGAGAGTTTGTGCCTATACTAGTGAACTATACAAAATTTTTTTCTTGTTTTCATATAAATAACAATTATGGTACATGTTTATTAAAAAAATACTAACGCTATGTATGGCCAACTAAATCGTGATCCCTTAAATCTTCATGCTTTTTTAGAGGGGTCTTTTTTCTAGACCTACTTTTAATAGCAAGCTTGCTTAACTCCGAAAATCAAATAAATTAATAAATTAAATTAAAATAAATAAAACGAATATAAGCTACAAATCTTATGCCAGGTGTTGTAGTCCAAATAATGGTTAGTTGCTGTATGGAAACGTCTTGATACTGTATTTACTAGTGAGATTCTACTATAAATTTTGGCTGTATTTACTAGTGAGATTCTACTATAAATTTTGGCTTTCATCATTGGATTTGAAGGCTACTTAGCTATTTGGAGGTAAATGATATGAATGAATTGCATCCTACTTCAGAAAGAGCATAAAAAAACTATTACCAACATAATATCACACATATGCATTATTATAGGGGAAAGAACGGGGGTGCAAAGTGCCTGCATAGTGTTAGAATAAAGGCGCGCCACCAATAGCATTAGTAGTTGCTAGATTTAACCATTTATTAGAGTGTCACTAGATGGTGCTGAACATGTAAACATTTTGGATACTCTAGCCCAGAGTGCTGGATATTTTGACTCTTTTGCTATAAATATAATTTTTTAGTGAATATACATATAAGTAGACATTTTTTTGCTGGAATCTCACTATTCTTCCAGTTTGAGCTTTTTTGAGTGAAATGTTTGTTGCTACTGTAAATGTAATAAATTTTTTTTAATGCATATTGAAAACTCTAAAATTTACGTAATTTGGGTATTCGGTCTTAAAAGCCCTTAGGTGGATTTATCTTCTCCTGTAAGAGTGTATATCATATTATGAGGGCGGCATTATAAACTAAAAGTAATATGTTAGTTTAATCGTTATGTACACTATTTCATCAGGAACTCAGATTAAATATCTTAATGCCTTATGAGAGTGGATTTTGGGCTTTCTTTTAGAATTTATGTGAGACATAAGCACTAAGCATCTACTGTTGGAAAATGAAGCTTATAACTTGAAGTATTTTCAAATCAGCTTTTTTACATATTGATAAAAATTGGAAAGTGTCTGTTGAAATTTATGTCACTATTTGTCCAATATTTATACAATCCTAAGAGAGCTTATAATAGGAAATGTGCAAAATCAAGGATTGAAAATTTCATATACAATTAATTATGATAGGATAGCCCACATGAATTGTTGTGATGATATCCATGATCACATTTATCAATGAGGTGGCAAGAGACTAAACAAGTATATGAGTTAGAGGTGCTGGCGAGCGCTACTTTGCCATTAACAAATTTTGGAATAGTTGCTAACATGTGCTAGTTGGGAGCAGATAGCTAGCAAAGAAACAAGTTGGGAGGAAGTCATTGTGAGTTTTGGGGGCTAGCTAGGTGTGGTGCTGGGCCTAATTCCAGGGCTGGTTGGATTGATTTTTAAATAATTTGAATATATTTTTCTACACTTTCACTTAAATGAACGAATGGATTTATTCATTAGAAGTTTAATTGATAATTTTTAAAAGATTGGCCCTAACAATCTTTTGGTGTGAATGCCCGCAAATAGTTTACATTGTGATAATAAATGAAGTGCAAATCAGATCATTGTCAAACATCTTTTTATAACAATCTTCATCAACATCAATAAGCTTAATGTGATCATATTGCAAGGGACTAAATGCAATATTAATGGATGATTAATTAAAACTAAAAGCATCGTAAGACATTTTTCATTTAATTTTTTAAATTTTTTAGTGTAATTTTTATCAATAATAATTCAAAGATTCTCAATATCACAGATCCAAATATTGATTATATTGATCATATCTTTTAACTTCTTCAATTTATAAAGCTACCTCCCAAAAAGGTGTAATATTTTAAACTTGACCTCATGTCATGGCTATCTCCATGTATACTTTTTCTTCCAAATTATCATTCTAGAAGGTATTTTTTTATATTAAGTTGATGTAGTTCTCATTCTTTATTAACTGCTACTAAAAAGAGAATTCTAATAGTATTACATTTGTAACTGGTGTGATGGTCTATTGGTAATCAATTTGATAGGCTTGAATGAACCCTTTGAATCTATCAATATCCCCATCAGCTTTGTGTTTGACGTTGAACACCCATTTGTACCCAACCGACTTCTTATCCTGAGAGAATTTAGTAAGAATCCATATATCTTTAAGTTTTAGTGCTCGAACCTCTTCTTTAACTGCTTGCCTCTATTCTGGATTTTCAAGAGGTTTATGAATGAATTTTAGAATCTACGTACTATCAAGATTAAAAATAAAATTTTTGTAGGATGAGGATAGCTTCCCATAAACTACAAACTCTTGAATTTGATATCTAATGAAGCTTTCTTTATCACCAGCATCAGAAGAGGATAGGGATAACTCATGAGTACTAGACTCTTCCTTACCCAAAATTTTAGGTGAATGTGGAATCAAGCTTTGGTTTGAGCTGTTATGTCCTTGTAATGTAATTTGTCTTCCACCTGCTCAATATTTTTCTTCTCCTTATGTACACATAGAGTTCTTTGTTATGGACTTTAGGTTGCGTTGATTGCATTGGTTGGGCATCCTCAGTCATGATATGAGAGCTAGGTTTAGTTGATGGTGATGACTTGCAAGTTTCATCAAGTACATTCTAAAATTGATGTTCATTTGCACTCTTCTCCTAAAGATCAAATTTGAGATAGTGGATTGATTTTTAAAAGATATGACATCCATGAAGTTGTTGTATTTGTTGGTAATATGAGAGTGGTATTTATACCTCTTTTGTTGGTGGCGTACCCAAGAAAAATATTGTTGATATATCTAGGGTCAAGTTTTTACAATTTTGGAAATAGACATGAACAAAAGATACACACTCAAATATTTTAAGTGATATAGTAGACAAAAAAAGCTCAGATGTGAGGATAGGTACCCATCAAAATATAAAGAGGTGTTTTAAAGTTAAGTATCATGCCAGACATCCGATTTATAAGATATGTTGCAGTAAAAATGACTTTCCTTCAAAAATATTTTGAAACTTGATGAAACATCATAATTGAATGTGATACCCAAGAAGATATCTATTCTTTATCTCAGATATCCAATTTTATTGTGGGGTATCAATACGTGAACTCACATGGATGATTTCATTTTTTGAATGATGGGATCCAATGATGGAATTGAAATATTTCTTTGCATTATCAGTTTTGAGGATCTGAATTTTGTATTGTAATTGAGTTTGAATTATGTTGTGAAAGGTTTATAAGATTTTGGCTGACTGAAATTTCTCCTTCATTAGGAATACCCAAGTATTTCTAGTGTGATTGTAAATAAATGAGACAAAGCATCTAGTCCC